TTATAAAAATAGCCTTTCGAAGAAATTTCTTTTTATATAGGCCAAAGTTGTAATTTTATAAAATAGCTTTAGAAAGTTACAATTGCTTCTCTTTTCTACATTTTTTCTTGTTAATAACTACTTTAGGTATTAATGATATAAACATTTTTTTATTTTGTTCAATTTACAAAATATTTATTTTTCTTTAGAATAGTAATTATTGCAATTGTCCATGTAATGATTATTTGTTACAGAATCGAATGCAAGAAAGCTTGAAGCTGTTCGACTCAATTTGCAATAACAAATGGTTCATCGACACCGCGATTATCCTGTTCTTGAACAAGAAAGATCTCTTCGAGGAGAAAATCCGCAAGTCCCCCCTCACCATTTGTTTCCCCGAGTATGCCGGTAAGAATTTACATTTTTCTATGTACGTTCGAAAAGAATTATATCTTAAATATAAAATAAGGATTAACCAGTATTCTGTTTTCAAATTAATTTTATTTTATCATATCTTTACATATAATCGTTACAACGAAAATAAAATTAAAGAAAATCTATTGAAAATTTGCAATAAATTTGCTCCTTACATTATGTAATTTTCTTTGAAATTAGTATATTTTTAGAAATCAGGATTACAGGTTTGTTCTACATGTACTGCAAGTCCAAAACTTATTTTTTAAAGTAACGAATTTAACAGGTATTCAGAATTATATGTGATTATTTTTTCTGATATTCACACTGAAACTTTTTTTTTATTAAGTGTACAGTTTTCACATATTGCAACGTATAACCCCCAAATAGCTGTATAAATGTAGATACTATTTAGATAACATTTGTATTTGACAGCTATTTGATTAATTTTGTCAAAAAATTTTCTAACTTTCTAACGTAAACTTTAAAAATCTAACATAGTATTTTCATTGCTATGTTATAAATCAATAATTAATTAAACTCATCGATCGCCATCTTTCCCGTGCAATGCACGACGGGAACAGGGTTGCTACTTTTTGACAGACCAATCACCAATAATCATTCCACATAAAATAATATAATTCATTCCTTACTTTTAATTCACACATAATCCAATTACTGCAGCATATATTTTAACGTACATTTCGACGATTATGACAAGAACATGAAATCCTGAATTAAACCTAAAAATGTTTACAATTGTCAAACTATCTGCACCATACAATAATTTGTGGACCACTGTGTTTATATTGTGGTAAATTAGAATGGACAGTGAAACTTCGAGAATCGCAGCGTCATCTGTTAATAACGATCGAAACTTATATACCGTGTAAAAATAAACGCGGAAAGTTCTCATTGTTATAAAAAGTTCGTAGTCTGTTGCCGTCCTTGGAATTCCTTCACGCCCCACAAGAAAGTTACATTCTCTTGTTTGAGGTACACTGATCTAAATACGTATCGTTCATCGTGTGTCATCCATCTTCTGAGATTTCGATATGCGCGAGCTTTATTTTTAGATAATGCACACTTAAGTTGTGAAAAAATCTTGTTCGATCATAGAAGTTCTCCTTAAACGTTAATTTCCACTTATTAAAACTGTACAAATTTAATCGACAAATCTATATTCGTATTTTCGTTGTTAGTAAAAAAAATTTGCCAATGCAAATTTAAATTAATTGTATGGATAAATTTTGACAACTTTCGAGTAGACTTTGTCCAGTTGGTCAAAATCAAAATTTAACTTATAATTCGTCGATTCAACGAATATCACATATTCTCCGCAAATTGAATCCGTTTTTATAGAATTAATTATGGAAATCATAGTGCACCAGAAATCAAGAAAGAAACTGTAGCAAACGGAAGTTGATCTTTTATTAAGAAAAATTTTGTTTAAATATTTGAACATTGTAATTTAATTAATTTAAGTATTTAA